AGCACGCATCGCCTTCCTCCTTCTTCCCCCTTTTTATTAACGTCCGTATGAATGTCTACGTCACGAAACATTGTTGCGAATTAAAACGACAAATTATATAGCGGGTGCAATTTATCCATCAGCGCACTTTCTCTTCGCGTCGATAGATTTTTTCATCTCCTAAATAAACTCGTGCTCGATGCCTAGCGCACTCTGTGCTATAAATATTTGTAGTTTCTTTCGTTAATTTGTTTTGCAAAATTTGTTTGAATAAAAGATATTCCAGAACTATATAATTTGCCATTTTTTATCTCTCCTCATTTTAGATTTATTTAATATCGAAAAAATTGAAATTTCTATAGATTATATTTATAAAATTTAAAAATAAAAACAATTTTTTTGCAAATAATTTTGAATAAAATTTTACATTTACATGACCGTTCCTATCACAGCACAATTTTTATGTTAAAACTTAACAAATTTGCAGAGATTATGGTCTTCTGTTTAATCTTTAACAATAGAAAATCGATTTAGTTGAAAACAAAATGTAATTATTATACATAATAATTAATATAATAATTATTATTATACAGACACTTAATATATTATATAACTATTACTATATAAATAGTTATAATTATAATAATATAGTAATAATAATGGTTACTATATTAATTCATGAAGTTACAACTACATTAATATAGTAGCAGTTATATTATTACAAAATTAATACAGTTGCAACTATATTAATTTAGTAATATAGTTAAATTAATATAGTTGTAACTATATTAATTTAGTACGATATAGTTAAATTGATACAGTTGTAACTATATTAATATAATAATTATATTAATTCATATAATTACAACTGTATAAATTAATATAGTAATAGTTATTTTACTAACAATAAGTTAATATAGTTATATTAATTTTTATTGCAATTACTATATTAATTAACAACAACTAAATTATCGATGATAAATAAGACGTGTGTAAATCGAATTTCTTATTGCTATATTAATTAATATATAGCGATAGTTATATACTATTACAATATATTAATTTTATTTATCATAGTTATAACAATATTAAGTATACTTATAACTAATATTAAAACATTGTGTGTAAAATCGAATTTTCAGTAACTTGCTTTCGAAAATATGCAACGCAAGTTTTTTTTAACTTCATCGTCGCGCTTTCGCGTTCGCGGCATCAGATTTAACGGTATAACGTCATGGGGATACTTTCTACTCTCATTCATACTTTCTATACATAAACGCTATCTCGCTGGAAATGTCTATCAATCCCATTGGTATATTTTGATTTGCGTATATTTTTCCTAAAAAAAAAATGCGTAAGAGTACTGATTCTACTTTCATAAATCATTCCTTACAATACCGTGAAGGAAGCCACGAAGCAACAACGAAGGTTGTATGTCATTGCATCGTTGCACCACGACGTCATTAGCTTGAATACCTCCAAGTGCCTAAATCTACGGAAGCACGTGTCACTGCGAGCAACAAATCCAAACGAGAGAGCAGAAGAATTTTCTTGCACAAAACCATTGTATCAGACAAAAATATTACATATTAATCGGGGTTGGGTTATAACTATAATTAATTAGTTAAAAGTTAATAACTTTTAACTTAGCTTAGTTAATTTAAAATGTATTAAGTTTTAACTTCAACTAATTATTTTTCACCTTAAACTTATTAACTTTTTCCTAATAAGTTAAATTTTTTATACTCTGAATTATTGTTTTTTTTTTAAGTTATATAAATATATTATTTTTAAAAATTAAAGTATTATATTAATTTTTATGTTTATTTATCATCAATTGTAATTACCAAAAAATATATATTTCTATATCAAAATCAAAATTTCTTTGTTATTTGTTATTATAAATTTTAAAAGAATTAACAAACAAAATTCTAATTTAATATAAATGTTTTTAAAAATTTACTTTTGATTTAACTTTTAATTTAATCTTAACTCAACTTTAACTGAGTTAATTTCTTGTTCATGCAACTGTTAACTTAACTAAATTAATTTTATAAGCAACTATAACTTTAACTTAATTTAGTTTTAAAAAATCATTAATTTATCCAACCCTGATATTAATGAACAGCAGTAGTTATGTGTCAAATGTTTAATTTAAAATAAGACTTGATATTCGCATTTTATTATATTTTTTTACATGTTTATATGTATGAAAAAAAAATTAAGTTGTTTAAATTTGACAACATAATGAAAAATTCAAACGCACGATTTATTTTTTGTCTTTGAAAATGCAAATTAAAGAATCCGTAATTAAATGATAATTCGCTAATGTTTGTGGAAAGAATCATGAATAAAAAATATCAGCGTGAATAAAAATATAATGATATATATAATTTTACATTAGTTCAAAATTATTTTAAATTAGATAAAATTTTTTGTAGATTTTTTAATGTTGTGTAAAAACAATGCTGCAAATCAAATTTTACTAGTACGATTTCCAAAATAATTGAAGTTTAATGTGTAAAAAATGGCTTTTTGGCAATATTTGAGAATTTTTTGTAAATTATTTTTTTTTTATTTTAATCTAATTTTTATTTAATTTTCAAATATTCTAACTTACTTTATCTTTCAAATGACGTATATAAATTTTGATAGATAGCACATAATATTTATCATAGCACATAATATTTGAAGATATTATTGAAGCCTATATATATTCTATATTAAATATGTTTTATAATTATATATTATATATATATATATATAATTAAATGTCAATCATAAAAACTGTCTAACAAAGATAAATCGCAAACAAATATATGGTGCGCATTTTAATTTTTGTTTAAAAGAAGTTCACGCATTAAAATAAAATAAATATATATGTATTTACAAATAAATTTATATGTATTTACATGAAAATTCGTCAATGCAAAATTCGGAATTCCTGTATACCGATTCATCGTAGATTCCCGTAAGAAATACCCGAGTGAAAGGCATCAATAATCGGGAGCGCGTATATAAGGAGCGTTTAAAAAATTCTTCTATTAGTTGGGCTGCATATGTATGCGTGTGAGTGAATATTGAAAAAGTGCAGCACAATTACGTTGCTTTTACTTCCTCTCTTGTAAAATGATAAAATGTTACTGCGTATATCGGGTCGACCGTATTTCTTCAACTAAATCTTTGTGTTTGATCGATCCCGTTCCCGTCTTTTCTCTCATGGCCTCTCCTTCTCCGATTATATTTATATATTACAGATATATAGTAATAGTTATGATTTTTTTATATATTATATTATATAACTATTATAATATATTAATATAGTTATAACTATGTAACTATTACATTGTTACAATATCAATATAATATTAGTTATATAATATAATCAGGATTAGGTAAATCAATGATATTTTTCGACTCAGTTAAGTTAAAGTTAGTTGCTTATAAAATTAATTTAGTTAAGTTAAAAGTTGTGTGAACAAAAATTAACTCAGTTAAAGTTAAGATTAAATTAACTAAAATTAAATCAAAAATTTAATTTTTAAAAACATTTATATTAAATTAAAATTTTGTTTGTTAATTCTTTCAAAATTTATAATAACAAATAACAAAGAAATTTTTATTTTTATATAGAAATATATTTTTGATAATTACAATTGCTGATAAATGAACAGAAAAATTAATAATACTTTAATTTAAAAATAACACATCTATAATTTATTAAGAAAGATAATAAGTTTTAGGTTAAAAATAACTAGTTAAAGTTCAAAATTAATATATTTTAAATTAACTAAACTAATTAATATAAATAAAATAAATGTCATTATTATATTATACAGAATGGCCCCGAACGTTCCAGTCAGACTTTGAGATTTTATAGAAAATTTAATTCTGAACAAAAAATTTCCTATACTTAAACATGGGTCGAAAAATGCTTCCTTAAGAAATTATCGCTCAAAAACCTCTAATAAAAAAAGAACAAAAGGTGAAAAGAAAATGAAACTTAAAAGGAAGAGCAAAAGGTAAAAAGAAAATAAAACTTAATAAATTTTTTGAAAAAAAAAAAAAAAACAATACAATAAAAATAAAAATTTTTTCTTTTATGAAAATAAAATAAATTTGTTAAAACTAAAATAGTACGTAATAGTAGAAAATGAATAAAGACGTTATATCAAAATCTATGGAATGTACAACAATCATTTTGATCTCATTTGAAAGATAATTAAAATTTCTACAACTTGTTTCGATAATTTTTGTTTAAAGATTTTTTTTACTTTTTGTTAAAATCTTCCATGATATTTGAAAAAATGGGTAAAATAATAATAATTTCAGAGGTTTTTGAGTGATAACTTCTTAAGGAAGCATTTTTCGACCCGGGTGTTTATAGGAAATTTTTTATTCAGAATTAAATTTGTTATAAAATCTCAAAATCGGGCTGAAACTTTCGGGGCTACCTTGTCTAGTCATTATATTAGCTAGATCTAAATAAGATTGAACGTTATTCTCCTCTAAAAAGTTTTATATCTCAAGAAACTTCGTGACTTCTTGTAGCAACGTAAATTATTTGACTTTCATCATCATATATATATAATAAATCATGTATAAATATAAATAAATTATAAATATTTTGCTGTAAATTAAACATTACATATTACATCTAAAACGGCGCTTAATCATCGTAAATAAATAGATACGTTTGTGTAACGTTTCGAGAAATTCAAAAAAATTCTGAAAAAAAAAACAATGACGCGTATAATATTCTTAATCCCAATCTCGAGATAGCTAGAAACGACAGGAGGTAACAGTTGACGATATCGCGATACTGCGATTGCAATTCGAGGCATCGTCAAGCAAATGCAACGGTGTCGCCGATAAGGAGGTGCGATATCAACAGGTCCGTCCGAGAGAAAGAGATATATATATATACATATATATATATATAACGCATTGTTGTCGCGTCTCATCGCCGAAGCGGACAAAGCGGAGAACGCAAATTTACTACGCACTAGGTTCATATTTACCTGTCAGAATCCAGGTGAGAGACGAAGGCGAAGGTTTCCTCAAGGTTTCTCCTCGAAAATTCCACACTAATACTATCACACCACCACCACCACCACTGGCATCACCTCCCGTACATGTAGTGGCACCGCTCCTTCCCGCCTCTCACCAACACACGCGAGGAGGAAGAATCTCGCGCGGCTGCTTCTTCGCCGGTCCTGCTTCTGCGTCCTCTTCCGCTCGTCGACGACCCGATGCGAGCGAACGCATATCTGGGCGCGCTCAATAGATTTCTCACGGAGAGACGATGCTCCTGCTGGCGCGAATTATAAATGCGGACGCGCGAGAGAGTGATACACACGTCCCACTCGCGCGCGTCGCCTCGCGGCACTGGCGGAGCCGAACCAAGTGACGTTTGACGTTCGCGTCAGTTCGGGCGCGCTCGACTGTCACCGCGACGCGCTCGCGGCCCGCTACGTAACTGCGAAACGCGTGCTAGAACGTTGTGTTGGAACACGCGCAAGCGTGAGCACGCGCGATCGACGAGGTCGAAAAGGAGTGTTGATGCTGTGTTGCTGCTGCTACGTTGCGAACAGGAATGACGAGTCGAGGAAGGAAACCGAGTTTGGAGACCCCTCGCGGTGAAAATGCGAAACTTTTTTTCAAGCTGTAAATTATGGACACGTAGAGAAATTAAATTCCCTATGTAGAAGATATTTGGGGATGTCAGGTGGGACCTGATTGGAGAAGATTATTGGGTTTGTTCTTTTTTGCTGCACCGCGGTGAATTAATAAATCAGAATGAGACATATTTATTTTGTCCCATTCTGGGCCGATTTTTCTAACTTCTCGGTAAGTTTTACTTGACAGGTAGCATATTTTCGTCTCTTTTCAGATAAGTTCTAAACAAAGAGACAAAGATATGCTACTTGTCGGGTAAAACTTACCAAGAGTTGGAACAACCGGCCCTCTAACTTGCATCACTGTGCACTGTTTATCAGTGCGGAAATAAAAAAACAAACTTGCAAGTGCAATATCAATAAGTGTATTTAACGTCAAATAACGTCATTAAACGTCAAAATAACGTCATTTTGACGTCTAATGACGTTTAATGACGTCAGTTTGCTATCTGCGGATTTAGGCATCTTCGCGTATCTTATTTTTTATCAATGCGATTAACATTAAATTAAAATTGAAAATAACCCAAGCAACAAATGTTATTAAACGTCAAAATGACGTCATTTTGACGTTTAAAACTTACCCAGGTATCAATTAAGTGTACATTTTATTTTGACATCTAATGACGTCATTAAATGTCAAAATAAAATGTACACTTGCTACCTGAGTAAGTTTTACAAAAAAAAGATTGTAAGAGAAGAAAGGGATAAGAATTGAAAAAGCTGAAATTTGTTTAAAAAGAAGTAAAAGAGAAGAAATTTAAAAAGAAGAAATTTATCATAAGAGAAGAAGAAAGAAGATAAAAGATACAAGATTTATTCAAAATATAAAAATTTCACTTTTTCTCTCTTCCAAAATTCAAACGTCAAAAAAATTCCCGCCAAATGTCAAAAGTACCACGTGAATCAGGCGAGTGTCAAAAATGACAAACTCGGGTCACGTGGTATATATATATATATAAAACACGTAACTGACGTAACACTTCCGCTTCCGCAGATGGTTGGGTTTCGCCATTTGGATCGTGACCATCGAGTTGAGGTTAAAAGGGCCGAGAAGACTGTCGTCGTCCACGACGAAAGGGGAGGCCGACTGCTCCCTGAAGACGAGCGCCCACGCTCATCGCCCAATCCACCCCGCTTCTTCCGTTTCGCGCCCAGCCACTCGCATCGACCTGTCGGCAACTTCGACAAATCGAGACACTTTTTACCTTTGGCACCTGACGAAACATGGCTTATTGAAGAAGATGACGGGCATGCGAAGGGATACCATTTCTCCGAGGAGAGGAGACGGAGGAGACCGCAGCTTCGACGAGGCGAGTCGCCAGACCGACTGTAATCGATTTGCAGATGGATGTAAAGATGAAACTCATGCCGTCCCCCGCCGAGGGGGCTGCCACTGATGCGAGAAACGATCGAGGTTCATGTCTTATCTTTTTTCAAGGTCATCGCTAAAAAGTCGGTTCCACCGAGGTATCGCGTCTTCTCACGCGTCTTAATGCTTCTTTCAGATGTTAGTGACGAGCTCTACCTGGGAACTTTGCGCAAGAAAGAACCTGTCGGCGCCTGTAATTTTCCTAAAAATGAACAACCAACGAAGTACAATAATGTACAGAAAGCAAAAGATTCTGCTAAGAGACCGAGATCTAAAAGACAACATCATGGCAGTGCAGAGAAGAATTCCAAGGTCGATTTACATGTGGATACGCTTTTATCCTTTTTCACATTTTCAAATTACACCCCAAGTAGCAAAGTGACGTTATTTGACGTCTAACGATATCATTAAACGTCAAAATGGCATTATTTTGATGTTTTACGATGTTATTAAATGTCAAAATAATATTATGACATTTAATGAAGCATAATAACGTTAAAATGACATTTAATGAGATCAAAATGATGTTTAATGATGTCAAAATAACAAGCTTGCTATCTGAAATATATATAAAATTATATATATGATATAATATATTTACAGGTAGTGGAAGAAAAGTTTTCTGAGTATAACTCAGTATTGGTCCAAAGCAGAAAAGCAAATGGCAATTTTTTGCTGAATTTTCGCTATGCGCGAGATGCACAAAGGGATATAGGGAGACATAGTTGCAACAATGATAGATCGCATCCACCGGTGCAACGGCATAAGTACAACAAAGAACAATTTATACAAGCCTGGTAATAATCCTTCTTGATACATACAGTCATCTCATTTAGCAAATGACATTAAACATCAAAATGATATCATTTGACGTCAAAACTTGCTACCTGGGATGGCAACTTCTTGAATATCCAAAAATTATAGATATTTTTTCAATTATTGTTTAGGTATCCAATATAGATAATAATTGAATATTCATGTATATGTAACAAGATAAAATAATATTCATTTGTTTATTGCTTTCTCAGTTCATTAAATAACAGAAAATTTAACATTAATAAATGAAAACGAATGAATCTGTTAGCTTGTCTATGCAAATAAAAAATATTTCAAATGATAATATTGTAAATCAAAATTATATAAAATTTTCCATGTAAAGAATTAAGAAAAATTCGTTTATTCGATTTCTTGAATTTTTTTTCAAAATAAATTATATACTAGAGAAAATTAAAAACTCAAAATCGAGTATTAATACTATTAAATGCATATTATTTATATGCATATATAAAAAAATACAAATAATATAGAAATAATTTTAAAATTCTATACATACACATATTCAATATACATTATGTTTTTATATCAATAGCTGCCAGTTTGTTGTAACTGCAAGTGGAGATTATTCCTCACATTTGACCAACGCTGATACTCTTGTTGATTGGAAATTGATCGAGCAAATTGTAAGTTGTTTCCTGATTCTTAATCTTGTTATTGTGCAAAATTTTCTTACACGCATATATATATATATACTGATTTATATTAATTAAGCCTTATTTAAATTTGATCTATTTTTAGAAACTACACAATTCAGAAAATCTCTCTTGCCCCATTTGTTTACACCCACCAGTTGCAGGAAAAATGACTCGCTGTGGTCACGTCTACTGCTGGTCCTGTATTCTTCGTTACTTACGTTATTGTCAAGAAACAGGCAACTACAAATGCCCCATTTGTGATGAATACCTTCATAAAAATGATTTAAAAAGGTAAAAAGTTGTCATTATTATATATCATAATATGTTGAATGATGAAATGTTTATATATTTATTAATTTATTATATATTTTATTAAATATTTTATATATTTTATATATATATTTATGTTTATATTATATATTTTTTAGTGTGGTCGAGATTACACGAAGGACGTATAACCTGGGTGACACAGTTACTCTACGTTTGATGCGTCGCGAGAAGAATTCCTTATTCGCGACACCTGTAGAGTCTACGATTCATCCACCAACAACATTTTTATCTGTTTCAAAGAGCGCCGCTAATCAGATATATTCGAAACTTCTCATTGCAAGCGTAAAGGATGTAAGTTTATACATAAACTCTTGATGATATTCACTTCTAAATGCAAGAGTGAAATGCAAATGATGTTTGTATTTTTAGATTGTGGATATCATAGAGCGCGAGCGATCTGAATTGGAACTTGAACTTAGGAATAATCCAGATATGGCTTCTGACATCAAGCAAGCGCTCGACGAATTATTAAAAAGGGAGGACCAGCTACCATGCAAGGTAACATTAATATTAATTCTGTAAATAATTATATATATATATATATACACATCTTATGTTATATATATTAAAATATATATATATATATTTCTATATATCTATACATATATATATATACACAGGGTGTCCGGTAATTGTCGCCTCAACCATCGTGTGCAGGTAAAGTGAGTTAAACCGAATAGGAAAGTTCTCTACCGTTTTGTGATTTTCGCAATAATTATTGAATTATTAAATAAAAAAAGATCGGCCAATCCACGCGAATAGAAGCGCGCGACGAGAAGAGACGTCCTACTGTAACACGATACACGGCACGCCGCAAAGCGGAAGGAGGAGCGAACGATGACTGTCGAAGAATCGTGTTCGAAAAATCTTCGTGTATCGTGTTACAGTAGGACGTCTCCTCGTCGCGCGCTTCTATTCGCGTGGATTGGCCGATCTTTCTTATTTAATAATTCAATAATTATTACGTAAATCGCAAAACGGTAGAGGACTTTCCTATTTGGTTTAACTTACTTTACCTGCACACAACGATTGAGGCGACAATTACCGGACACCCTGTATATTAAAATATATATGTCAGTATGAGTAATAAAAAATATGTATGTAATGTAAAAGAATATAGAGTCCAAAGATGCTGATGCGGAAAATACAACGAAGAATGATATTACCGAAGAAACACTACAAGGGAGTGAAATAAATGCCTATACATGCAAAGAGGATACTACATTGTTGGCAAAACAATCGTCAACGGACAGTGTCTCCAGTGACAGCCAATCTGCTTCGAGTCCTCCTAAATTTTTGTACTTTTATCAAGGTAAATAATCATATGGATTATTAGAAATTATTTATTGTCGAAAAATGAGAACTTAAAATATTTCAGATAATATATTCACAGATAAAAATGTCACATTTTTATGAATTAATTTTCAGTCGAAGATGGACAACACATATATCTTCACGGCTTGAATGTGAACATGTTGAAGGAACAATATGGCAGTCTCGAATATTGCCCGTCTGTTATAACGGGTAAACTTCTTGGAAAGTATGCAACCGTCTGCACGGAATACTTGAGAAGGAAATTGCCATATATTTGTCACTTACCACTCACTAGTATATTCGATTCAGTCGAAATTGAATTAAAACCACCATTTGTATCTGAAGAAGTTCTTCGTAATTTCAAAGGTAACTATTTAAATTATGTTTGTATTTTATTATTATATTATTGTATTATTATTATATTATTATTATATTAATTTTTTTACATTACCAGAGACTTTGAATAAGAGGCAGTCCGACAGAGAAGAGAAAGAACGTGAGGAAAATAAACGGGAAAGGAGAATAATAGAAAATGAGAATAGATTAATTGGTATTTATCCAACACCCAACATAGATATTGAATCGTATCAACATTTTCCTCAATTGCAAGCAGAACTACAACAGTTTTCCACGTGAGCAATTATTATCTTATCTTTATTATGTAACATTGTCTTCATTAATACATGAACACTATTTTATCCTGCTTTGTATCTATAAAAGTTACTCAGAACTCGTAGAGCCTCGTCAGAGACAAGAAAGCATGAGCTAAAAATTTTAAAATTCTTAAACTTATTTTTTAGTATTTTAAAAGTGTACTAAAATCTGAAATATTGTTTTATCGAAATATCTTTTTATTTCAAAAGTATCTAAGAATTTTTTGCGTGTTTTCTCGTCTCTGACAATTTGAATATTGGTTAGCAAGGAGCCAGGAGAGTATTCAATGATATAATTTAGTATAATATAGTGATATAATATTATATATATATATATATATATATATATATAATTTTTATATAACAATATATAATTACAATAATATATAATAATATATAATAATAATATATACATTAATATATAATAATAATATATATAATAATATGTAATAATTTTATAAATATGTTTTTTAAATCGGCCAACAGAGCCAAAGCACGCAAAATTAATTATTCGGAACTGTATCTCTTGGTTTGAGATCACTAAGTTCCATATATAAATTAATCTCGAAACTGTCGCTGAAGCGGCTTTTCGGACCTATATTTTTCGCGCCTATTTCTCCATATGTAAGTTGCGAGATTAATTTATATATGGAACTTAGTGATCTTAAACCAAGAGATACAGTTCCGAATAATTAATTTTTCGTGCTTTGGCTCTGTTGGCTGATTTAAAAAACATCATATTTATATTCTTAATATTGAGAGCCGATAAAAATATTTCTTTCTGGTAATAATTTTACTTATTTTTTGCATACATAGCGAACATGTGCTGTCGCAACTCGCAGAATCGGCAACATCGAGTATCGCTAGCAGTCCACCTCTGAGTGCACCAGCTTTCGAGGAAATTCCAAGACAAGAAACGGATCACTCGTCGCATGGACACACCCGAACATTTGCCGACATAGCGAAAAAATCACCAACGTCAATGATACCGATGAAGACTAAGTCTACCAATGCTTGGCCGTCTGTAAGATCAAGAAAACACCCTGGTACAACGTCATTCAACAAAGACGAAGAGGAAATCTCGAAAGTAGAGACAAGAACGGATGATAAGTCTAATGCTTGGTCCGTAAGACCAAAAATATCGACATATTCTGGTACAACGGGTACCTCTTCGTCCAATGAAGATGAAAAAAGATCTTATGCTTCTGAACGTGAGTTTTTTTCAATCTAATCAATAAATTATTATCAGAGTCAAGAATAATGTACAGAGTGTTCAATAGGAAATTGCTAAAACTAATCAGTCATCATTTTTTAATTCATGCAATTATTGGAAAAATAAAAGTTGTTGAAAATTGTTAAAATGAGGAAAGTGTAGTTTTTAATGGATATAAATAAATGTTTGTATACCAGTTTATTTTATTGAAAATAAGTAATGAAAAAAGTGCTAATAATAACATTTGTAAACTAATGATAAATATTTTCAAAGTGAGCACCATTTGAATTTTTACAAAATTCTGTTCTTTTACGAAAACTTGTAAAAAATTTTTCTAACATCTCATTTTTAATGTTATTGACGATCCATTTAATAGCTGCTATTAAATTATTAGCACTTTTTTCATTATTTTTTATCAATTAAAGAAACTATTATAGTATACACACGTTTTATTTATATCCATTAAAATCTGCAGAGTTTCCTCTTTCCAATACAATTTTTATTTTCTCAATAACTGCATGCATTCAAAAATAACAGCTGATCAGTTTCAGCAACTTCCTATTGGACACTCTGTATATATCAGGGTTGGGTAGTAACTAGTTAATTAGTTAAAAGTTAAAAAAAGTTAAAAGTTTGTTTTAACTTAGTTTTTTAATTTAAAATGTTAATTAATTTTTAACTTTAACTTGTTATTTTTGACTTCAAACTTATTAACTTTTTTCCCAAGTTAAATTTTTGATCTCTGAATACCATCTATTTTATAAACATTTTTAAATTAAAATATTAATTTTTATGTTTATTTGTCATCAATTATAATTACCATAAATATATTTATTTCTATAAAAACCAAAATTTCTTTGTTATTATAAATTTTAAAAGAATTAACAAACAAAATTCTAATTTAATATAATGTTTTTAAAATTTAACTTTTGATTTAATTTCAATTAATTTAATCTTAATTTTGAGTTATTTTTTTGTTTTTTCTAATTTAACTAAATTAATGTAATAAGCAACTAACTTTAACTTAACTTATTGCTAGTTTTAAAAAATGATTAAGTAACCCCAGCCTGGTATATATATTTTGATTACACTTGTTTAAAATGTTTCCAACTTTTTTCAACTAAATCATTGTTTTTCAGAAGCGAAAGATGAAGGTAATGCAGTTGGTAAGAAGAAGAAGAAAAAGAAGAACAAAGGAACTGTACTGTTAACGACTGGGATGACATCCGGTTATTCTTTGTAACTACCTGTATGATCGCATATTTTTATTTGCGTATAAAATTACTTCTTTGCTATGTAAAACGATAATTGGTAGAACCTTCATTGAATCAATTGTAGAAAATGGCAGTAATTAATTTTTTCACAACTCTTGCGTGGCTATCATCGTTATTATTTTTAACATTATTGTACGAAACATATGTGCAACATATTGAATGTCTTCACTTCTGTGCTGAAAATTGTAATTATTTACCGATATAAGGAACAATAATTTGTTGTAGAGTTCTCGCATATTGTGCTTACAAATAAAATTTTATTTTATTTCACACTGTTTGATATTTGAATCAATCACCATTTGTAGGAATCTCCGATAGTTCTCTCCAATATCTAAATATATGCTCATTTTAATTTTTTTTTTTTGAATTTTTCTATTTTATTCAAGCTCTTCAGAATAATAAAATTAAAATAAATTAATTATATATATATGTATATGGAAAATAAATTAAGATAATTGGTAAATTGCTGATTAATTAGTAATAATATACATACATATATGTATATATTGCTAATATTATTAATATTTTTACTTTTTTTATATAATTAATACTTCTTATTCTTTTCAATAAAATTCTAAATTACATGCTGTCTTAAAATACTCTTTTTTTAATGATATTGTAGAAATAAAAAACATGTGTTTCTCTAAGTTTAAATTTTTTATTCAAGTATTTATTTTTCATCCAAGATCGCTCTGTGAATATTACAAAGTAAAAAGATAACAGATTCACAAATATTAAATATTAAAGTGATATTCACAAATATTAAATTGTTTCAAATTAATACATCAAATTATCGTGCTTTACTAAGTCGATTCTTTCCTAAATTATCGGGATAAAAAGAATAATACAATTTTCTTGAAGGGGAATCGCCCTATATATTTATACGAAGCCTGGAACATAGAAGATTAACAATGCAGATCTTTTTCTATATCGTCATAAATTATAAGTACACAATATATATACGCGAATAGAAATAAATAAAGCGTATGCGCAGTTCAAGTTTTGTATTCTCCTCCTCGAGGAGAATACAAAAGAAAAGGAACTTAATAAGAGACGCGTCGAAGAGGAACATAAAAAAAAAAAAAAAAAAAAAAACCCGGAATGATCAAAGCGAGCTGGCCGGTGTGTAATTAATTGTTCTATGTTCATTAATTGTTCTATGTTCATTAATTCGTTTAAAATCGCTGGCTTCAACGTGGGCAGTGGCGAGAATCGCGAAAAAGGTAACAAGGTGACGACGACCTCCTGGGGGACACCCTTAGTCGACCTCCTCGATGGTGGGTCCGGACGCGCCGCCGCCGCTGGGCGCGCCACCTGGTGCGGCGCCACCGGCGCCCGGGAAACCTCCAGGCATCCCGCCGGGCATACCGCCCGCGCCTTGATACAACTTAGTGACGATCGGGTTGCAGATACCCTCGAGCTCCTTCTGTTTGTGCTCGTACTCCTCCTTGTCAGCGAGCTGGTTCGCGTCCAGCCACTTGATAATCTCGTTGCACTTGTCCAGGATCGTCTGCTTGTCGCTCGCGCTGATCTTGTCCTTGAGCTTCTCGTCCTCGACGGTGCTCTTCATGTTGAAGCAGTAGGACTCCAGGCCGTTCTTCGCCGCGATCGTCTCCTTCTGCTTCTCGTCCTCGCTGCGGTACTTCTCCGCCTCGTTCACCATCCTCTCGATGTCCTCCTTGCTCAGCCGGCCCTTGTCATTCGTGATCGTGATCTTGTTCTCCTTCCCGGTGGACTTGTCCACGGCGGAGACGTTCAGGATACCGTTCGCGTCGATGTCGAACGTCACCTCGATCTGGGGCACGCCGCGAGGAGCCGGGGGAATCCCGCTGAGCTCGAACTTGCCCAGCAAATTGTTGTCCTTCGTCATCGCTCGCTCGCCCTCGTATACCTGGATCAACACACCCGGCTGGTTGTCGGCGTAGGTGGTGAAAGTCTGGGTCTGCTTCGTCGGGATCGTCGTGTTCCTCTTGATGAGCGCGGTCATGACTCCACCGGCAGTTTCGATACCGAGGGACAGCGGGGTAACGTCGAGCAGCAGGAGGTCCTGAACTTCCTCGGACTTGTCGCCGTGCAGGATGGCGGCCTGGACAGCTGCGCCGTAGGCCACAGCCTCGTCGGGGTTGATGGACTTATTGAGCTCCTTGCCGTTGAAGAAGTCCTGGAGGAGCTTCTGGATCTTCGGGATTCGCGTGGAGCCGCCGACGAGGACGATGTCGTGGATCTGAGCCTTGTCCATCTTCGCGTCCCGCAGGGACTTCTCCACGGGCTCGAGGGTGCCGCGGAAGAGGTCGGCGCAGAGCTCCTCGAATCGGGCCCGGGTGATGGAGGTGTAGAAGTCGATACCCTCGTACAGCGAGTCGATCTCGATGCTGGCCTGGGTGGAGGAGGATAGGGTGCGCTTCGCCCGCTCGCAAGCAGTGCGGAGACGACGCAGGGCGCGCTTGTTCGACGTGAGGTCCTTCTTGTACTTGCGCTTGAACTCCTGGACGAAGTGATTGACCATACGGTTGTCGAAGTCTTCGCCACCGAGGTGGGTGTCGCCGGCCGTCGACTTCACCTCGAAGATGCCGTCCTCGATCGTCAGGATGGAGACGTCGAAGGTGCCACCGCCCAGGTCGAAGATCAGAACGTTCCGTTCGCCGGTGGCCTTCTTGTCGAGGCCGTAGGCGATCGCGGCTGCGGTGGGCTCGTTGATGATACGCAGCACGTTCAGGCCCGAGATGGTGCCGGCGTCCTTGGTCGCCTGGCGCTGCGAGTCGTTGAAGTACGCGGGGACGGTGATTACGGCGTTCGTCACGGTCTTGCCCAGGTAAGCCTCTGCGGTTTCCTTCATCTTCACGAGAACCATCGAGCTCACCTCCTCGGGGAAGAAAGTCTTCGTCTCTCCTTTGTATTGTACCTGGATCTTTGGCTTGCCACCATCGTTCACCACGGTGAACGGCCAGTGTTTCATGTCGGCCTGGATGGTCGGGTCCTCGAATCGACGTCCGATTAGCCTCTTGGCATCTGAAGCGTGTTTAAACAATTTTATTAGTAAGCTGGAATTTCAGTTTCTCGTTCAATTCATCATGCAGATGACAAAAGCAGGCATTCTCACATCAAATCACGTCAGTTTGCTACTTGGGAGTGTATTTTGACATCAAAATTATGGCAAAATGATATATTTTGGCATTAAATGTCATAATAATGACCAAAACTACCGCATACATTCCAGATAGCATAAATACCTCATTTTGATCAAATGGTGTCATTAAATGTCAAAATTATATATTTTGGTGTCAAAATGATGTCATTATAATTACTGTAGCTTTCTGGATATTGTATACATCCTAGATAGCAAACCTATCTCATTTTGATGTCAAATGATGCCATTAAATATCAAAATAATGTCACTTTGACGTCTAATGATGTCAGTTTACTACTTGGGAGTGTATTTTGACATCAAAATTATGACAAAATGATATATTTTGGCATCAAATAATGTCATAATAATGACTGAGGCTACCGCATATATTCCAGATAGCAAACCCATCTCATTTTGATGTCAAATAATGCCATTAAATATCAAAATGATGTCACTTTGACATCTAATAATGTCAGTTTGCTACTTGGGAGTGTATTTTGGTGTCAAGTAATGTTATAATAATTACTGTGGGTACCTGGATATCGCATACATCTCAGATAACAAATGTATCTCATTTTGATGTCAAATGACACCATTAGCGTCAAAATGATGGCATAATTACTGTGGTTACCTGGGTATCGCATATACCCCAGATAGCAAACATATATCATTTTGATATCAAATGATATCAGACGTTAAAATAAATATTTTATAAAATATGAAGACAAAGACTACAAAAATAATCCTTTGCAATGTAATTTTACATTCATTCAAGATAAATTTAATCTCATTTATATTTTTCAAAACTAAATCATTATTTATCAAAATCGAATAGATGTGGAAACATTTTTTTCTCAAATAATAATGCAAGATTAGCAATATAACATGATTTCATGGCACTCCGTGCACATTATACATTATTAATTTTAGTGCTGATCAATAAAGAATCCAATTAGATAAGCTTTACATCTACACATACACATACACACACACACATGCATCCATTATGAGTGTGCAACTTCCGGTTTGGCACCACGAGGTGACTCGAATCGACCGAGAATTACACGAGTCACGATTCACCGCGATTAATATTTCCGGATATGGCGATCGAACGAAAGGAGAGACAAGGAGAGAGGGGAAAAGGCAAAAACTTACCGAAAATGGTGTTGTTGGGATTCATGGCGACTTGGTTCTTGGCGGCATCCCCGATGAGCCGCTCAGTCTCGGTGAAGGCCACATAGCTAGGCGTCGTGCGATTTCCCTGGTCGTTGGCGATGATCTCGACCTTGCCGTGCTGGAAGACCCCGACGCAGGAGTAGGTCGTGCCAAGATCGATACCGACCGCGGGTGCCTTCGCCGCCATTTTTTCCCTTTTCTTCGATTCTGCAACCACGAGGAAAGATATATAAATAAAAAAAAAATATATATATATAAATAAAAAATAAATATAAAAATATATATATATAAATAAAAAATATATAAATAAAAAATTAATCTATGCTTCCGTTAAAGAAAGATAACCGGGCACAAAGGAACACAATTATACCTTGGTAGCTTCGTTAGAGATTCGATCACTTTTGCAGCGGCTGGACAAAGAAGCACTTCGTGTCTACGACTCACGGTGTTCAGTGTAAGAGTAACCGCGTCCGCGCCCCGGGGCGTATTTATAGGCCGAGGCTTCTGGAACGTTCTCGCGACGCAGGCGCCGCTCGGCGGCCAATCGTGCGGCGCGCCCCACCGGAAAGCCGCGTCGCGATTGGCAGAGCAGACGCGCGTCATTCCCTCCCTACGTTGCGCATGCGCCGCGCGGCCAATCACCGCCGACGTCAGCCGAGCGTCCGTAGCTTATTCTGTTATCGATCGGAAATGAAATTTTTCGACTCGACACGAGTCCGAATTCTGAATTCCGATTCATGGGAATTTGGAGTGATTCCTGGATGATCGAGGACATCGAGGAAGAACGGATTTTTATATGACCGGAAGTGGAACGGATGATGGAAATGGAAGGATGGAGAAGATTCGCGGGCCCGATTCTAGAAACGTGTGGAATGTATGAGAGCAGAGCATGCGCGAAGCGCCCTCAAGGTTTTTCCTTCTGCTGTCTCACCTGCCTGCGTGACGTCACAGGTAAATCGGGAGGCCGAGCCTTCCCGCGTTTTCCGGAAGAGAATTTCACGCGGAGCGAGGTTATAGGATATACTTTCACGTAAAAGACAAAAATATATATACGGATATAATTAATTTTCGCAACAACTCACGGATTAGATATTGCAGATTTTATCATCTTAGGTTGTTTCTCGTGAGCGAAAAATTACACACTGCAATTAGATATTAAATGCACGGCTATAATCATATATCGTGAGAAATAGAAATAAAGAGAATAAAGAGTGAGAGAGAGGAGAAAAAAATTCCATATGCGATTATGTAATGTGGAAGTTCGATTTTCCAAGCCAGCAAATGCATGCGTCACTGTATATTAGATATATACGATACACGTGGCTCTGGGCAACTATGAGAAAAGAGAGGGAGGAGAATAGAGAGAGAGAGAAAAGGAGATCCAATAATCAATATGGATAGTACAATAGGAATTTGGAATATCCCCAGTAAGCAAGAAATATTTAATCAACATTTTATAATGTTGATTTTATATAAATTTTCTAAATGTTATATGTTTTTTATATTTATATATATATATGTTTAAAATATTATTAATAAATATTATAAAAAAATATTTTAACTGATGTTTTATAAATATGTTTTAAAAATATTATTTAATAACATATATTGCTCAAAATATTAATAAAATATTTTAAAAACGTTAATTTCAACATCACCGAAACCTCTAAATCGATGTCAAAGTTTGTTCATAATGATGTTGCATACAATGTTAAAAACTATATACTTGCCAACAAAAATAACATTGTAGCAATGATTTTTTGCTTACTGGGTCTGTTCAATTTCCACATCGCGACAGTAATAATTTACTGTCGTATAAATTGAATAGAATTCTTTATATATATATGTATAAAAATTACATTTACATATTACTTTTTAATATATATATGTATGTCAATTTCCAGAAAAAAAATTTTAATGTAAAAAATTACTTTTTTTATTTTAAAATTTTAATTTTAAATATATTATTATTTTAACATTAATATTATTATATTTTACAATTTTATAATTATATTATTGTATTTTTATAATTATATTTTATCTTGTAATTTTTATTATTTTATTTAATTTTTAATTTAAAATACATATATATATATATATATATATATATATATATATAGTCATTTTAGGTAGACAGGGATATATTAGTTTACCGCCTGAAAATTAATCGTAAAATAATCGCGATGTCGCGTCGATGATCTCAAAAAATTACACAGGGGTGAGTCATCTTATACACGTTCTTTTTGTATAAGAGACGTCTGACAATGAGGTGTACGAGCAACTTTATATGTCCACACATGTGATATCATGGACACGCGCGTTTCAAGTTTTATTGTGTTTGTGTGAAAAAAAACTTGCAAGAAAGTGCAATTCATGCGGTCGATATAACGATAAACTAAACGATGAACGAAACTCTTGAATGTTTTATCGAAACAATAGAAAGTTTTCAACAGAAATCTATATGTATATATACATATATATACGAAAAGTACATCATAGGAGAGATAAATTTAATATATGCGAGAAATGGTGATAAAAAACATAAGTGAATTGAATTAAAAAAAACATTTACTTTTAAATATAATTAAAGAGATACTTACATTTTTATTTAAAATTTTTACATTTATATTTATGTATAATTAATATATTTTTATGATTTTGTTATTAAATTTATATTTTTAAAATTTTAAAATATGTATATTATATAAAATGATTAAATAAAATCTAAATAAATTTATATATAAAGTTTAATATTGAAAATATTTAGGAAAAGAAATTAATTTACTTTTGATTTACTTTTAATTACTTTTTATAAATTAAATATATTTTATAAGAATGGATATATGATATTAAAATATAATTCCTATTATTAAAGACATTATTTTATAATAAAAATAAAATAAAGAATTAAATTTTATGGAGAAATTGATTGATTTAACTGGAAGAATAATTAGATTTAATTTCTCGCATAATTATTAATAATAATCTTTTTTTTGTTTTAGTCAATTATTTTAAAAGAGTAATAGAAGAGGGAAATTATTTATGAGGAAATCAATTATTTGTTTACAATCCTCTTTTTACAAAAACAATAAAATAGTAACATTTTTACATCAAATTTACAAGTCACCGATGACACATTTAATTATATTTAATTATATTCGCGGTAGAATTAGCGAATTATTTTTGACGTAGACGCTTATCTCGAAAAAATTGCTTATAATCTACTATTTGAAATGTACTGTTGTTATATCGGCAATAAAAAATTTTCAAAGATAAGAGCTAAACTCGACGTCGATTAATTGTGACATTAATAAGAGAAACAATGGGAAAAATAGGAAGAAAAATATTCGTCTTTTTATTAAATTTTCCTCCATTGAGTTTGTAATATAATTTATATTATTTAAAAAAAAGGACGAAAGAGATTCGTCAATCATCAGTGTTAATTTATTCATATTTTAAACAATGTGTTGTTGCTATAAAAAATATTTTATAAAAAAATGGAATTTTTAAAATATATAATACATTTTTTTATTATCTATAGCTACGATATGACTATTTGTTTATTTTAGAGGAAGAAACATCTTCAAAATATTTTTGAAGATAAGCATTTGTATAGATAGGATATCTTTTCTTAGCTTGATTCCTATAGAAACAGCCGGTATATTTTGTTCAACACGTGTTGCGAAGTTAAACCTGACCAGGTACGTTTCTCTGTAAACTTCAAACGGTCTTCAACGGTCGGCTCCTGCAGGATGCTGTGACACAACAATACGAGATAAAGAATATGAGACAAAAAGAGAAAGAAAACAAAGACGAAGGTTCAGGATTTCTCAAATAATAATTTGCATGCAAGGGAGACAGAATCTTCTTTCACAAGGAGAGAAATCTGATAAATATTTATTTTTGTAATTATATTTATATAAATTTAAATAATAGTTTAAATGAAATAATTTAAATTATATAAATAATAATAAATTAAAAATTTAAATTAAATAATTTAAATTATATAAATAATAATAAATTTAAAATTAAATAAAAATAAACAGAAATAAATATAAATAAAAAATTAATATAAATAAAAATAAAACGGATTTTTTTCCCGCGTGATATATGAAACAAAAATATGTCAAACACATTTATGAAAGATATATACGAAATAATGACTCTGACGTCATCAAGATTAAATCATTTGTCGTGCGCAATTAAAAAAAATCGTACTCAATTAAAAAAGATTTATTTAAAAATAATTCTTTTTGTCATATATACATATTTTTTTTTTCAAAATTGGAAGGCTCGTATAAATTAAACAAATTATTTAAACATAAAATGATATTTAGGCCAACTAAACGAGCAAAAAGAAAGTGTTATTTATTTATTAAAAATTTTTTTCTTTTTCCGATCTAATTTTTCTCTACGAAATGCTAGCATTTTTCAGTTATTTCGTCACGCAGAGATTTTTAATGGTCATTACTGAGAATGAAAAATGATATGAGAAGATAAAAAAAAAGCCATACATTGACGTCTTTGATTACTTATAATTTACTTCACGACTGAAACACAGTCTTTTGTCGAATTAACATTCGTTCTCTTCGAAATCTCTCATTTATTCTGTTAAAAAGGAGATGATAATAAAAATCATCCTTGTCCTTGTTCTCTCTTTTTATATCTCTGTCTTTCTCTCGTTTTCTGATCACGTGTTTCTTCCAGTAATTCAAGATGCTTTGAAGTCATCTGCTCTTATTTGTTTCGAACAAAAGCGAATTATTTAATTAATATCCGCAGGCCAAAATTATGGAAATATTAGAAATATTAATTAGACAAATTAGAATAAATATATCTATATATTATTTATACATTTAAATTTAAAATAATTTTTTTTAATAAAATTTAAATTCTTTTTCTGTTATGTACTTTGCAATTTTTAATAACTATAATAACTGTTTAAAGATATGTGTTTTGTTAGGGAAAATAATTTATTTGAACAACAGTCCTTATTTCTAGTTTTTGGTAGTTTGCAAAAAAATACTCGTTTTTTTCACAGAATTTTATATTCCAAAAATTTTGAATTAAGATAAGATTGGATTTCAATTTTATACAAAAAATTTTATAAATAAATAAAAATTTAAATATAATTATTATTTTAAGTAAATTAAATAAAATTTATTGTGTAAATAATATATATATACGCACACAAAGTATCAGATGTGCATTATTGTGTGATTCGGAAAATATATATGTATATTTTTACGCGAAGTATTTTTGATTTTCATTGAAACTTTGTCACTGAAAATAAGAGTGAAGACCTCGCGAAATAAATATAGCAGCAATATATAATGAAAGACGGTATAAATTTAAATTTTGAACGGAATCAAATATTTGTTCTATCTATATAATAGAATTTTAATTTAAGGCTTAGGTACAAAGATATATATTATTAATATTTATCAAAATTAGGTAAATTAATTCCTTTCTTAAGCTAAGTTAAGTTTAAAGTTAGTTGCTTTTATAAAATTAATTTAGTTATAAGTTAAAAGTTGTATGAAAAATTAACTCAAAGTTAAGATTAATAAATTAACTGAAGTTAAATATTAATAGTTAATTTTTAAAAGCATTATATTGATATTCAAGGTATTTTTGTAATTCGACCAATACTAGCTATAAATTCGTTTATTTTTCCAACGTTAAGACCAACATAGATTTTGATCCTTTTCAAATGACCAAACCTTCTTTCTTTTATAAAATTAACAAAGGTGTTTATAGTTCCGGTGGAAAATCTAAAGAATAAAGGATCGTTCCGCTTTAATTATATTATATTGCAATCTTTTCTTGAAAAGGACCAAAACCTGATATGGTCGAAACGTGTTGTAAGAAATAAACGAATTTATAGTTAGTATTGGTCAAATTACAAAAACATCTTGATTTATTAATTTACTATAGAAGCTTATTTAGACAATAAAATTTAACTATTATTATTGATATTAAATAAAAATTTTATTTATTAATATTTTTTAAATTTATAATAAAATTAATAACAAATAAAGAGAGAAATTTTGATTTATATATATAGAAATATATTTTTTGGTAATTACAATTGATATGACAATAAATGATCATAAAAATTAGTAATATATACTTTAATTTACAAATAATACGTTTATAACTTATATATAACTTTTATAACTAATGATATAATAAATTATATACAACTTATTATATATAAATTTATAAAAAAATAATATAATATTCAGAAATTAAAAATTTAATTTAAGAAAAATTCCAGGTAGCAGACTGACGTCATTAAACTTTAAAATGACGTAATGGCCTGGGATTTCATATATATATATATATATATATATATATATATATATATATATATATATATATATATATATATATGTATATATCAAAATATGATATATAATAATATATATTTCATATATTATTATGTATCATTTTGATAAATATTTATGACAACATTATTAACTTACCCAACCTTGTTATATATTAATATAATTATGTGAATTTATATAATAAACTTATTTCAGGAAAATAAATTCTCTATTTCCAATATCAAATTGAAATTGTGGCGTTCCGATTCCTACCTTATTGTAGGAACTTTTGTTGTTACCAACCTCATTCAATTAATCTGTCACTAACTTCTTATTAATTAAATATTGATTTAAACAATATGTTAGATTATATTTTGTTAATAACATTTATTCAATTACATACCCACAAAATTTGGAAAAGTGACGCCATCTGACGTACGTTTTAACGTCACAAGTCTCAGTATGGTCGGTAAATCAGAGATCTAATTTGAAAATCACATATGGCCGCGTATCAGCTGTACACGAATATTTTCCCGCAAGTGAATAATTCTTCGTTTTTGACGTCTCATTTGGTTGCAGCACCGGAATTAAAAGGTCAACTTAGATTCGATGCGATTCCCCGTAATAAGGAGCGTACCGAGAAGAAAAACCAAGGACGACGACGACCCGAAGGGATCCTGAAGGACGAGTTATGAGCACCTGGTGCTCGAGCACGAGTCTGTACTCTTACATGGAAATTACTCGTTCGGAACTGGAAAAGTTGCTTGCTTATCACTGTAATTTTTTTTTCCATTTGTTTTAAAGTGAAAATACACATTAATGTAAAATTACTATTTTTATGCAAAAATCATACGTAATTTTAAATTCACTATTTTTTTACTTTATTAAAACTTTATTTTATAATTATTTATCCATTTTATTTATAGCATTTATACATTCTAGCATTTCTCATCTGTAATTCCGCGTTCGGTGGAATATTTGTAATCTTGAAAATATATAAGAGTATATTTTTGGTAATTACATTAATTGATGACAAATGAACAGAAAAATTAATAATACTTTAATTTACAAATAATACGTTTATAACTTATATATTTCATATGAAATTAAATATAATCTGTAATCTTCCATACAAGTAGCAATATTGCATGATTGTGCTGGGTCGGGAAAAAACCTAATCATGTAATTTTACATAAATATTTTTTTCAGGATAGTTCTCCCCAAGTCGCGAATGACACATCTAGTTCGAGGCTAAAGGATGATGAGAAACGGCGATAATCCTGCGGCGATAATCCTGCAGTTATCATTACTCCTGCTCCGGACCCTGGGGTCCCACTGTCTGGAGGTGATATACGCGATAAACGCCGGCGGCGAGGCGCACGCGGATAGCTACGGGATACACTACGCCAGGGACCCACTGATGAGCAAGGTCGGCACCGCGTCCGATTATGGGAAACAGCTGATCATAGGACGTGTCAACAACCAGGACCAGATCCTGTATCAGACTGAGCGTTACCATCACAACACCTTTGGCTACGATGTGCCCATCAGCCAGGATGGCGATTATGTGATGATACTCAAGTTCTGCGAGGTCTACTTCAACTCACCCAATATGAAGGTGAAGCTCTGAAGATGTCCGCTCCCTGGAAAAACCAGGGAAGATTTTTTTAACCTGAAAATTGATTGGAAAATTGATTATATGTGGAAATTGATTGAAACTCGTGGAATTTGCTCTCAATAATTGTCTAAGATAATTTTTTAAATTTTAATTTAATTTAATTTAATTTTAATCAAACAATTTTTTTTATGTCTGACGTGATTTTTTATTGACGATCTCTTTTTAGTCTCTCTCAAGGTCTTGAGTTTCATATAAAATTGTTCAATTTTTTCAATGATATTTTTACGTAAATTAGAGTACTTCAGACTGTAATAAATATATATTATTCTTCTGCGACATCTACTTCAACTCACCCAATATGAAGGTGAAGCTCTGAAGGTGTCCGCTTCTTGGAAAAGCCAGGGAAGATTTTTTTTATCTTGAAAAATGTGGAAATTGATATTTTAATTTAATTAAATTATTGACATGCATGCGATATTTAAGTTTTCATTAAAATCTCGTGTGATTGTTTATTGATTTTTTTAGTCTCTCACAGTTTTTTAAATAATATTTTTAAGTAAATTAGAGTACTTTAGATTGTAATAAAATATTTTTCTGCGAGGTTTACTTCAACTTCTCCAATATGAAGGTGAAGCTCTGAAGGTGTCCACTCCCTGGAAAAATCAGGGAAGATTTTTTTATCTTGAAAAATCTGGAAATTGATTGTAACTTGCGAAATTTTCTCTTAATAATTGTGTCTTCGATAATTTTTTAAATTTTAGTTTAATTAAATTTTCTTTTATTTTAATTTTAATTTAAAACCAATTTTTTATGTCTGACATGCATTTTTGCGATATTTAAGTTTTTATTAAAATCTAAATGTGATTTTTTTATTGACTATCAAGGTCTTAAGTTTCGTAGAAAATTGCTTAATTTTTTAAATATATTTAAATAAATTAGAGTAATGTTATTATCGAAATTAATTTTACGATTAATAAATCAATATTAAATGCTAGGAAAATTGTATTCTTAGTAACTTTCTTTGCAATCATATAAAAAATATTAAATAAATATACAACATTAGAAAAACATTAGAAAGCGGATACGATAAAGAAATTTACTTTAGAGCTGTATTTACAGATTTTCTAATTTTTTTTACCTTAAATTTTAAATAGAAATATTTGGAAGAAAATTTTTTTTACAATATTTAAGCAAATTCTGATAAATATCCTTAAAAATTCGAATTTTTAAAAAATTTTCTGAAAAATTCCCTTCCAGGTATGTTCATTAAAAATTCAAGGTGAAATAAGAAAATTAGGACATGCTGTTTTTTTTTTTTTTTTTTTTAATTGTAATTGTAATTGTTTCAATTTATTACTTGTAATGTAAAATTTCTTGCATAGGTCTTTGATGTCGTACTGAACGGTGATCATACTGTGGTAACTGATCTGGATATCTTCGAGAGGGTCGGCCGAGGAGTTGCACACGATGAGTACGTCCCGTTTAGGGTACAGGGTGGAAAGTTGATATACAATGATGAAGAATCGGACATTTTAGCAGGAAAGATAAGAGTAGAATTTATAAAGGTAATATAGTCTATTTTACATCTTTTTTTCTTCATATATATATATATATATATATATATATATATATATATATATATATATATATAATACAGCGAATATAATTGGATCAATTTTGTGATTTTACAGGGCTACAGGGACAATCCAAAAATAAATGCTATAGCTGTTGTGAAAGGCGCTCTGAAAGGTTTGCGTTACTCTCGTTTTAATGAATCTTAAGGTTGAGGCTCCTCACTGACCATGTTAGATTGTGACATCATATTCGAGAAAGCACGCTAAAAATTCTTAAACGTCATTTCGAGATAAAAAAATATTCAGCATGCTTTTAAAATACCTTGAAAATTATCCTTTTTCTTTTATAATCAAAGACAAAGTCTGATATCACAATTATTATTAATATTTAATTAATTACTAATATTTTAAAAGTGTGCTACAATCATCTTAAGTAGTATTTCATCGCAATATCTTTTCATTTAAAAATGGCATCTAAGAATTTTCTGCGTGTGCCTTCTCGCCTCTGACGTCATAATCTGACATGAACGCAATGAGGATCCAAGAATTTTAATCTCTCTGCATAGCAAAAATTTATTAATTTATATATTAATATTTTAATTTATATATATGTCTACGTAGATATACCACAGTTGGGACCAATACCGCAAGATCCGGAAGAGTATCACAGCATGCAGGAGGAGGAAGAAGAGACTACTGTGCGTACACGACACACGAGTGGACCCAGGACACCGGATCCGTACTCGATAGATGATTCGTCTGTAATGTTACCTGTTTTCGTAGCTATTGGTGCTTTTATCCCCTTATTATTCTGCCTGTGTAAATTATAAACGGGCGATAAACGCACACGTGCATAGAAATGCTTTGTACTTAAGGGTACAACGTTGTGCCCGACTGTTTAGACTCGCTTGAATCATGAGAGAACGTCTAAATATGTAAATAGGTAATTAATAATTAATAATGCATCCTTTGCGTTGCATTGCCAGATTTAAAGAGAACATGTGTGAAAAAGTATTTATTATTAATTTATAAATCTAAATATAGAAGTTCCCACTTCTTCCTTCCTACTTAAAGTACTTTCATATGAATTTTTTTAGAACATTTCACATATTTTTCTGATGAAACTTATATTGTCTTTTTTACACAAACATTGTAATATTTAATTATTTAATGAAAAAATTTAATTTGTAAGTATACATATATGTATGTATAAATCTTCGACTCTTAAAATAATTCCAACTTTGATTTCAATTCTTAGAACTTAAATAAATTTTACTTAAAACTAAATTGTTATCTGTTCACAGTGCTGCAAAGTGCTTTCAACAATTTTTAATTCTTTCAATTTTAGAAAAACAAAAGAAAATTATTGATACTTTGACATTAATTAAATTACTTAAAATATGAAGAATATATTTGAGATATTTAAATATTTCAAAATATTTTTCCAACCTTATTTTTAATGTTGGATTATCAATAAATTTGTTAATATACATAATAGAAATTTGATTTCTGCAAATTTAATTTCAATTTATAATTCAAAAACTTGAGATTTGACGTTCTAATTAAATCTACTCCAAATTGAAGTTGTTAAAAATATATAGTTGAAAATTTTGTAGACAACCTGCTCATATGTATTTTACATATATCAGGTAGATATAGTTGACTCAAGAGAATACATCTTGAAACATATATATATATATATATAATTTTCAGAATAATGTAATGAATTCTGTTACAAAATCTTTTCGTTTTTTTATTTTATTTTATATTCTAATAACCTGTTTTATACTATTCGTTACGAAACATTTTATATACAAGTTTCGTTCACATGTTTCCTTTTCAGTTTAGAGTATAGAAAGTTTAGATATGTTAACATGGATTATATAATTTTAAAAAACATTTAGTTTATATCATAGGATATTATTAAACAGATCTTATAGTCCATTAAATACCAAAGTATATATGGATTCATAATACATCAATTTTTTGCATGTTTAAAAGAGAAAGAGAGAGAGAGAAAGAGACACAATAAATGAGACTATTATTATATAAATGATTCTCTACATTGTATTTATCTGTATTTTTCATACGAACGCGAGGCCTCACGTCATGCATTTTTATTGGCTCAAAGTTGTAATCTTATATCGCACATATATATAGTAAAACGATATTATCTAATATCAGATAATACAATTCAATAAAAAAATACTTTTTCGAATAAGGATGATATTTCCTGCATTTTTTATATTTAATATCATGTTACAGTTTTTCAGAAATTTTTTGCCAAAAAATTTCCTGGAGAACGACCATCCATCACTGATGTACGAGTTCGTATAAATTAAATTCTCTTGTGAAGTCTTGGCGATCGAATGATCTTATTGACGATAGAACCTATTTGAATTGTACAAACGGTAATACTCCACGTTGTTATGGACTTCCAAAGATTCATAAGAACGGATATCATTTACGTATCATTGTCTTTTTTTATAGAATAATTTATCACTAGTAACGCCAATTTATCACTTATTTCGAGTACTTAAATTACTGTATATCAGTATTTTAAATACTCGAAATAAGTGATTAATTGGCGTTACTAGTGATAAATTTCTACAAGGGTTGACACTTGATAGTCCGGGATATAATATTGCAAATTATATTCACAATGTTATGCAATGTTCGATTAAAAAATCGAACTCTTACATTAGTGATGGATGGTCGTTCTTCAGGAATATTAGAGATAGAATTATTAAAGATAATAAAATAATGATATCGTTGGATGTTACATCATTATTCACTAATATTCCTAAGGATCTAGTTTTAAAGGGAATCGAAAAACGCTGAAACGATATTTCGGAAAAAACAATTTTTACATGCTGTGGAAACCATTCTTGAATCGACCAGTTTTTGTTTTGAGGGACAGTTTTACGAACAAAACTTTGGGAAGTCCAATGGGTTCTCCGTTATCTCCTATCTTGGCGGATATAGTCATGGACGATCTTAAGTTATTCTGGTTGAGTTCTTTGGATTTTTTGGTTCCTGTCTATTATAGATATGTGGATGACATTTTTGCTATAGTTCCAACTGGCAAAATAGGCGAAATATTGTCTACTTTTAATAAACTACCACGAACGTCTTAAATTCATGTGCGAAACCGAACTTAATTCTTCACTTAATTTCTTAAATACTACAGCACTCCGGTTTAATAGACTTATAACGAATTGGTTCAGAAAACCGACTTGGTCGGGGAGATACATGAATTTTTTCTCTTGTCACTCTTTAAAATTTAAAATCAATACGACCTATAATTTAGTCGACCATGCTATTCTATTATCTGATAAGTGTTTCCACCATGATAATATAGAAAATATTAAGAATACTCTATTAAATAATTGTTTCCCCTCAAAAATCATTAATCGCTATATATACAAAAGAATTAAAAATAGAAATGAGGATGATATTGAAAATAATGAATCTTTTGAAAAAAACATTTTTTATATGTCGATACCGTATGTGAAGGATGTTAGTGAAAATATTGCACATTCTTTTAAGAGGTTTGGCATTGATGTTGTCCACAGATTACCCAAGAAACTCAATTCTCTTATTAAATGCGGTAAGGATGTTCTGTTTAATGACCGTGCGACTAATGTTGTCCATAAAATAAATTGTAAGGATTGTTCTGCGGCATATATAGGACAAACTAAGAGGCATCTTAGCACGAGGTTTAATAAGTATCAAAAAAATATAAAATTAGATATTACTTCGCATTTAGTTATTAGCAAACATCGGAATTTGAACACAATTTTGATTGGAATAGTTTTAATATTTTACTGAAAAACATGTAAAGAAGAGAGAGATAGCAGAGATGTTTTTTATTAAAAAACTCAATAACAACATTAACTCACAGAAAGATACAGAGAGTCTAAATGATATCTATAACAAAATAATTAAGGTCGTATAAAATAGCCTTACTGACAAAAATTTTTGTATTACACGTGCAGGCAAAGTGGCACTTTCGGTGCGTGTTTTCTGTGCGGAAAGCGGCCGATTTTCCCCGCCGCCATCTAGCGACGACGCGGTGAGTGAATAAGCCGCATTCAAAGCCATTATCTACGGCTCAGCCGCGTTAAAAGTCATTGTATACGGCTGAAACCGTAGGCAATGTATTGAACACGGCTATTCCCCCACCGTGCCGCGGCAAGATGGCGGCGTGCGATCGGCCGCCTCACGCACAGAAAACGCGCAGAAAAAGTCACTTTGCCTGCACTTGTAATACAAAATAGTATGTGTATCACGTGCGGATTGACAATTGTTCACTCGTCCCACACAACACATGGACGTAATTACAACATAATTTGGATGTCCGAAGCGAGCACCAAGGACATCCGATGGACGTCCCGTGTACATCCTGTGGATGTATTAAGGATGTCCTATGTTCCGCCTAACAACATCCATAGGCTATAAATGGGACGTCCAGCGGATATCCTTAGTGCTTACTACGGACATCCAAAGTATGTAATTATGTGGATATAATGACTGCATTCAACAGAAAAAGAGCACAATGGCCAGTATTCATAGTCAGATCTTATATTTAAGATCGTCTTAAGATCTCGTTCAACCAATCAAATGACGTTATACGGCTATTTGATTGGTTAAACGAGATCTTAAGACGATCTTAAATATAAGATCTGACTATGAATACCGGCCAATGAGTGCTTATTAATTCTTTAATGTGATTAGTTTCTATGTTTAGATCCAACGAAGAACTAAAGGAAATAATCACATTAAAGAATCAACAGTCGCCGCATGAGCTGCTTTTTCTGCTGAACGCAACAAATGTTTCAATAATGCTCATTGAAAACTATTAAGACCATATTATATATTTAGATAGTTAGAATTTATTTAAATCAATAAAATACATGTATATAATTTTTGCAATATTATCTTAAGTATACTACTTTCAGCATTATAACCAGTAGCTCATCAAAATTATCAATATGTTTATTTATAAAATTTATGTTAGTGTAACAAAAACAAAATAATATATTACTGACGTGCTATTTTTTATATGTTCACGCAGTTTACTTAGTATAAAAAAAATTAAAATAAAAACTCCAATTAAAGTGTTCAAAGTTAACGTATACAATTATGTGTAAATTTTTATAAACTTTCAGTGTTTTTTGTCAATTTAAATTCCTTTATCATTTCTAGAGTAGTAAAATATGAAAATAACCCATGCATTACTGTTTTCAGAATTCTAGAGTACGTTATATAGTTCAATTTTTACATCTACCTGTATGAAAATTTTATCATAGAAAGTTTTTAATCAACACAAACTGTAAAATCTGAGGTTATGATTGTTGTCATTCAGTAGTATTTTGGCGGTGCGTCACTGACTTACACAGAATCCGGTATTATTGATATTTTCACTAAGACTTTTCTATATATTCTCTGCAATAAATATCTCTTTGTTCAATAACACGAGGTATGAGAGATACGAGCGGCACACGAGAGCACGAGCACGAAACATGTTGTGACACGTGAAAACCCGGCCGACCAGGACATGCGCAGCGCATTGCGCACTAGCGCCTAAAATTATCAGGATTAAAAGTCATTCTAAAAAAAATTGTAAAAAATAAAAATTATTGTAAGAAAATTATAATTAATAATAATAATAGAATTAGAATCTTCAGCTCAGACGTCCTCACAGAACTAAACGGAGGATGTCTACAGGACATAAAATAAACGTCTTATTTTGGATATAAAAAGACACAACCAAAATTTATATGTATTAAACGAATGTTATCGATAAAAATTAAGTTTTCAACTACAGGGTATACATATACTCGATATATTGTAAGATGTCCGGAATATGTCTTTTTAAAGTCCTACAACTGTCCATCGCAGTTGAAATTTTAACAGGACGTCCGACTAACGTACTTTGGACGTCCCACAAATGGGGACATGTGAGGACATATATCGGACGTCCGAATAACGTACT